CTGTTGTGGTATGGTGAGGAGGTTAGGGTGCAAGGCATGAGGGGAGAAGCAGCAGCTCCCCTCATGCCTTGCAGCAAGGCCTGGCTGCCAGGGATGGTGGGGAAGGGGAAGCTGAAAGGCATAACGGGAAGCAGTAGAAGGTCATGTGAGACCAGGAGGGGGCGGTGCAAGCTGTGAATGGCTTGGCAGGAGAGGGGGGGCCTGCAAGGCACTGTGGGAAGGGGCAGGGTAGATGGCATGCAGCCTAGAGGTGGAGCCAGAAGCCTCACCTTGATCTCGGGGGTGCCGATGCGGTGGCTGTCTTCCAGGATGGTGATAAACTGGATGTACTGGGGGTTCGTCCAGCGCCCAATCCCTGGGCGGGGAGGGGGTGCAGTTAGATAGGCTGAAGGGTTGTGGGAGAACCCCATAGTCTGGGCTCCCACTCCCCAGACCCTACCCCGCTCCTGGAGAACTCCGGCGTCTGGGCTTGCAGCCCTAGGCCCTAGCACACATCCCCCTCCCGAAGAACCCAGGAGTCTGGGCTCCCACCCCCCACACCCCAGCCCACTCCTAGAGAATCCAGGCATCCGGGCTTCCAGCCCTAGCCCACCGGCATTCATCCCGCTCTCGGAGAACCCGAGCATCCGCGTCCCCAGCTCTCCCTGCTTCCACCCCCCAATCCCCACCCCCTCCTAGAGAAACCAGGGATCCAGGCTCCCAGTCCTAACCCCTCAGCCCCCAACATCCTCCCAAAGAACCCAGGTATCCGGGCTCCCAGCCCCACTCTTCTCCCTGAGCTGGGTAGAAGGGACCCTTGTCTCCCAGCCTGCCTCCCTTGCCTCCGGAGCTGGGAGAGAACCCAGGTGTCCGGGGGGCGGGGGTGTATCCCTTTCTTACCCACAAGCCCCCACTCACCTCTGAGGCAGGCGACACCGGCCAGGAGGAAGAGCATGGTGGCAGCGTAGTGGGAGAAGGGCACCACTTTGGACATGGTCAAGTAGCCTGGGGGGGGGGCAGAGGAGAAGGCGTCATGGACAGGCCCCCGATGTGCCCAGCTCTGGGATGGAACAACTTCCCTGATACGGCCTGGCCCCTTAAACAACCCCAACCAGCCCGCCTGGCTCCCGCTACCTGCCCCTTCAACCTACCCCCCCAACATGTTGGTGCCCCTTAGTCACCCCACCCCATCATTTATCTGCTCCCCACCCCTCTACCTGTCCCCAGGTCCCAGGAGCCTGCTCTTCCTGTCCTCCCCCCTTGCCCCCCAAGCCTCCTACCCCCAACTGATGCCCTCTACATGGACCTTGCCTCCCCTAGATCCCTCCTGTGCCCCCTAAATGCCCCCTCAAGCTGTATCTTCCCCCCCCACCTGCCCCCACAGTAGCCCCTACCTGCTCCCCTAGTGCACTCCCACCAGCCCCTCCCCATACCCCATATATGCCCCCTGCCCTCCACAAGCCCCCTACCTGCCCCTGCAGTGCCTCCTACCTTTGCGGTACAGGTAGAAGAAGGCCAGCGGGGAGGTGTAGTAGGAGATAGACCAGAGCACCGAGGCCTGCAATGGGACCAGACATCAGAGTCAGTGCCGGACACCTGGGTTCTCTGCAATCCAGGGAAGGGGTGGGGGCTGGGAGTCCGGACACCTGGGTTCTCTGGGAGGTGAGTGGGCCAGACACCTGGCTTTTCTGGGAGTGGAATGGGGGCCAGGGGCTGAGAGCCTGGACACCTGGGGTCCCTCTGCAGGGAAGGGAGTGAAGCCAAGCTGGCTCACTGCACGGCCAGGACACCCGAGTTCTCTGCCCAGTTCGAGGAAGGAAACAGAGTCTGCTGGGTTACAGCAGTGGGCGCTGGGAGCCCAGACACCTGGGTTCCTCTCCTGGGGGGTGAGGGCAGGAGGAGCTGAGAACCCGGATGTCTGGGTTCCCTCCACGCTCTGAACAGGGTTGGGTCTGGTGAGCCAGAGTAATCGAGGCTGGAAGCCTGGACGCCTGGGTCATCTGGAACAGGAGAGGGGCAGGGCGGGGAGCCCGGATGCCTGGGTTCTCTGGGAAGCAAAAAAGGCATGGTGGATTCAGGCAGGATAGGGGAGCATGCTGGGAGCACGGACGCCAGGGCTCTCTCTCCGCTCTAGGGGACAGAACCGGGGGCCTCAGGGACTGGAGCAGAGATAAACATGTTTGTGCTGCCAGGGCTGCTCCCCTGGGCAGGGCCCAAGAAGGGGAGGAGCCTGGACACCTGGGTTCCCTGGAAGGCTGGGGCGGGGAGCCCAGATGCCTGGGTTCCCAGCCTCCCCCAGAAGCAGAGGAGCTCACCAGGGCCAGGATGCTGTCCGAGTGCTTCTCCAGGCTCCGCGGCTGGTAGTACGAATCCTGCATGGAGAAAGTATCCATCACCCCAAGACTTGGGGGGGGTGTCAGTGCCACAGGTGGGGAGTGGGGCATGCTGGGAAATCAGCCAGAGGGGCACAGTGAAGCCCTTGGCTAACAGCAAGGGGCAATGCTGGGCATTATGGGACACAGCAGCCGTTCTGGGGTGGCCAAAATGGAGTCACGCTAATGGTCACCTCATGGTCAGGGACGTGGTGGCTGTTGTGGCGATGCCATGTGGTCACGTCAAAGGTCACCTCACCATCAGGGTCACGGTGGCCATTGCGGTGATGTCACACGGGGCACATTGGCCATGGTCTCGCGTGCACAGCACCTGTATTGCCCCCTGCCAAGGCAGGATCACGACAGGTTACAGCGGAAGCCAGGCCAATCCAGCCCGACCGGGCGGGCACCACGGTGGCCAGGGCAATGTGGGCCTGCTAGGAAATGCCACAGCCGCCATCTTGGCCATTCTGGTCATGCCAGCTGAGCCCCATTGGGGAGGGTGGGGGCGGGGGGAGGCAATGTCTGCCATCTTGGCAACACCAGTCATGCTAACCCACCCCGTACTGGGGCAGACTGGTAGCAAACTTGAGAATCACACCACCATGGCACCTCCCCCTGGGTCGAGGCCCTGACTGCCATCTAGGAAGTCGTGCCAACATGACGTCCCCACTAATAGAGGGGCCCCGGCCGCCATCTTGGGGGTTACGCCAACCCGGCCTTGCCAGGCTGGCGTCATAGCACTAGGGAAGTAATACAGGCCAGAGGGGAGGACGGGAGATGCCACATGAGGTGCTGGAAGGGAAACGTGTCCCCCTCTACCCGCTGCTTCTACAATGGTCTCACCCAGAGGAGTATCAACAGCTTCCGGAGGGTGAGACCTACCATGCAGGAAACAGGAGTGGGACCACCCCTCTTTTCTACAATGGTTCATCTCAAGGTAGTAGCAGCAACTTGATACAAGGACTGCACCTGTACAGAACAGGGGTGGGGTGGGGGAGACGAGACACTGTTAGGGGGAAATATATCCCCTCTCCCACCCCCATGGCCTGATCCATTGCGGGTGGGGGAAATACCATCCGGAAGAGCAATCATGCTCTCTGCCCCTCAAGTTCATGCCCCCTCTTTCCTCACAAGGGTTTGTCCCCAGATAGCACTATCCTAGGAGACCTGGATAAGGAGAAGTGGAGAGGAAGAGGGCATAATTGTCCCCTCAACTCCATAACCCCACTTTCTAAAATGGTCTCTTTCAAGAGGGGGGGTCACTTGGGGGGGCTCATAGAAGAAGGAAGTAAGGGGTAACACAGTCCCCCTTTCTTGTCCAACATGGTATCGCCTTAACGGGCATCTAGACGCGACGACTGGGAAGGTCCCATCACAGCCACGCAGACACATTCCGCCCCTCCCCCCCCATCATGGTACCAGCCTAACGGACATCCAGACCCAGCGACTGGGAAGGTTCCATTAAGGAAAAAGGGGGCGTGTCTCTGAACGGCACCCCTCTCCAGGCAATGGTCTCGTCCGAACTCCCGTAGAGAGAAAGGCAGTCGGGAGATACCACTTCTCCCCCGCGGGGGGGAGAGTTAAAAACGGCACTCACCCAGGAAGACTCGCGGGAGGCTGGGGACCCCTCGGTGGCCTCGTCCCCATCCCGGGGGAGCCGTGCGGGCCCCCGTTCCCTGTAGACCCGGTAGAGCCGCGGCCCCAGCACGCAGCTCAGCAGCTTCGCCATCTTGGGCCGGACCAAGCCGGGTCGGAGACCAAGCAAAAGCGCCACTTCCGGGTTCTCTACGGGGAGCCGGAGGTAGCCAAAATTCCCTCAGGCGTTTTGAAAACGCGTTTTCCCGGCGTCCTGGCTGCGGGCTTCTCTCTCCCCGTCCCACCTCCCTTGTTAAAGGGCCAGGCACCCATTTCTGCCCTTCTGCCATCGGAGTGAAAGAGTCGCCATCTTGGCCAACTGGGGGGTGGTTACACCACATGGGACACCAATTAGAGGCAACTGGGAGAAACTGGTGCGCACAGGACAGCCATGTTGGCCTGGTTCTAAGCTGCTCAGGGTTGGCGATACAGCAGCCATCTGGAGAGTCATGCCAAGGTGGGGTGGGATCTGTGGGGTCGCTGAACAAGGGTGGGGTGGTCAGGCCAACTGGGATACCAGTGGAGGGCAACTGGGAGACACTGGTGGGCACAGGGCGGCCATGTCAGCACTAGGGGACTCACACCAACTGGGCCACTCAGTGTTGGTGACACATCTTGGAGTCACATCAAGCGGGGATCTGAGGGGTCACTGTACAAAGGTCAGGCCACCTGGGACACCAGTGGGAGGCAACTGGGAGACACTAGTGGGCACAGGGCAGCCATGCTGGCCTGGCACTAGGGGTGCACACCAACTGGGCCACTTGGGGTTGGCGATACAGTAGCCATGCTGGCGTTAGGTCATGAATGGGCACAATTTCCGAGCCGCCATGCTGGAGGTAGGTCAAGATGGCGTCTGTGGGGCGTGGCAGCCACGTTGGTGCCACTATGTTGGAGTTAGGCCAAAATGGCATGTGTGGGACATGGCGGTCATATTGGTGTCACCATGTTGGAACGGCATCAGCTAGGTGCCCCAAGCCTGGGGCGGCTGTTACCCAGCCGCCCCTGGGGTGGAGAGGCAGCACGCCAATTGTTTGGGCAATGCTAAGTGAAGGGGAACTCATAGGGGAGCATCTGCTGGGACGCCTCTATGTGAAAAGAGCTCCTCCCTGCCTGAGTTGCAGCTGGCTCGGGGGAGTGTGGGGTGGCCTTGGGCTGGGTATAATGGGTGAGGAGTTGCAACTGGCTTTGAGGGGGAGTAGGGGTGGATGTAATGGGGGTAAAGGCTGTGGCTGGCTCTGGGGTGGAGCAGGAAGAGGAACAGCTGCTTTGTGTCACTTCCTCCACACATCCATCCCTGTGGGATCCTGATAACGTCCCTCATCCTTCTGCTGTGTCACTCCAGACATGGCTCCAGCCTGACCAGCTCCTGGCGCCCTCCCCTGGGTCACACCCTGCATCCCCGAGGAGATGCCGGCAACGGGGGCAGCCGTAGAGCCCTTCTGCCTCCTTCTCCTGCTGCTGAGACCCACCATGGAGGGAGGTAAAACCCTTCTGTCTGTCTGTTCCACCCCAGAATCAGCTGCACCTCCCTGTATAACCACGTTCCACCCCAGAATTAGCTGTGTCTGTGTTTCTCCCCCATTGTACCCCAGAATCAGCTGCATCTCACCCTAGAATCACTCACATGATCCATGTTCTACCTCAGAATCAGCTGCATGTCTGTTTGCAACCATGTTCCACCCGAGTCAGCTGTGTCTCTGTGTATGACCACGTTCCACCCCAGAATCAGTCAATTTTGCTGTGTGTAACCAAAGTTCCCCCCAGAATCAGCCACATCTCTGTATATACTCAGCTGTTTCACCCCAGAATCAGCCACGTTTATCCCGTTTCACCCCAAAACCAGCCACATGCCTGTATATAACTGCTTCACCCCAGAATCAGCTGCATCTCTGTATATACTCAGATGTTCCACCCCAGAACCAGCCGCATTCCCAGTGCATAACCACATTCCACCCCCGAATCAGCTGTGTCTCTCCCTTTGCTCCCACCAGAGGTATCCGTGGCTGTGGGGGCTTCGGTGGAGCTGCCCTGCCCTGTGCGGCGCCACCTGGGGGCCGGGGAACAGCTGTTGTGGCTGTATCGCAATGATAGCCTAGACCTAACTGTGGCTCAGCGACTCCCAGCTCCGGGGCTTGGAGGGGACCAGGTCCGGCTCTCCCTCCTCCCCAGCCAGTCTCTGCTGCTGCGAGAGGTCCAGGTTGGGGATGCTGGAACGTACTGGTGCACACTGGGGAGAACGACGGTAACCGGCTACGAGCTGCGCGTGGTGGCAGGTGGGTGAGCGTTGCAGCCCCAGGTGGGGCCGGGTGCCTGGGTTCCCTGGGAGGGGAGGGGAGGCAGGGGGTGGGTGGGTGCTGAAAGCCCAGTTCCCTTGGGGGTGAGAGAAGTGGGGGGTGGGAGTCTGGATGCCCAGGTCCTCCAGGAGGGCAGTGGGCCCGGGAGTCTGGACACCTGGGTTCCTCTATCCTGCTCTCCCGTCTTCTCCAGTACCGAGGTCCTCCCAGTGCCCCGAACCCCAGAGCCAGGATCCTGGGGTCTGTGACACCCTGTGGGCCCCACTGGCTGCCTGTGTTGCTGTGGAAACCCTCCTCCTCCTCGCCATGGGGGCAGCACTGTGGAGGCAGAGACACCAGGGCCGCAGGTGAGGGGGTGGCAGCCTGGGTTCCCTCGGTGAGAACAGGGGCCTTGGAGCCCCGACGCCTGGGAGGGGAGCGGGTGTCTGGACTCCTGGGTTCTGCGGGAGGCTGGTGGGGCCTGTGGTTGGAGCAGGGGGGCTGGCAGCCTGGATGCCTGGGTTCTGCACCCCTGCTCATTGCCTCCTCCCCTGCAGGGCGGCACCTCCGGCCCTCTTGTTTCAGGCCCCGCCAGGTGAGTGCTGCTCTGGTCCCAGTTCCCCTCTCTTACTGGGTGAACTGGGGGCCCTCCATCTACCACACTGAGCTAACAAGCCCCGCTACTGTCTTGCAGGCCCCCTGGAATCTAAGGGCGATGCCAGGCTCTACGAGAACATGGGGCCCTGATGGCCCCTCCCAGGGGCGGGGTTCCACCCACCTGGCCACGCCCCCAGCACTAGCCCTGCCCCATCAGAAGCCATGTCCCCATGCCCAGCTCCATCCCCTAAGCTCACCCCTGTGAAGGCCCTACCCTTAGCTCCGTCCCTTCCCAGCCCCGGCCCTGCCTAAGCCCCACCCCCAGTTGCACCCCCTCCCATCTCTGCTCCTTGCTCAGACCTAACCTCCAT